GGCAGGACTGGCAGGATTTCTATTTGGCAAAACAATCAAATTTGTTAAGAATGGAATTTGTATTTTAATGAAGCTGTATTTATTTTAAAATAGGCTATGATTCAGAATAGCATATTCAAAATTTTAATGACTGCTTGAAGTTATTCTCTTGGAAAGGCTATATGGTATTAAACACCTTAATCCTTAAATACTGGTTTCACAGGCACAAACCTCAATATTTCAATATAAAGAAGATTGCTCTAGTATTCTCTAAGAGCTGGAAGCAGTTAGACTTTCATCCACTCAAAATAAACTTATGTTATACAAAGGAAATACCAAGTATTGCTTTGTTTTTCTTAATCATGACCCTCTTTAAGACAATTCTAGAGTCACCAATTTAAATGTCCGTTATACTGAACCTCAAATTCTTAGTTCTCTCCAGCTCTAATGAGGATTCCACCTGCCAATAATTTCAAATACTCTAGAGATTGTTTTAAAAAATTCTAGGTCAAGGGGATGAAAAATTACCAATTGGGTACAATGTTTGCTATCTGTCTAACAGTAACACTAAAAGCCCAGTCTCCACTGGTATGCAACAAACCCATGTAAAAAACATGCACATGTACCCTTGAATTTAAAATAAAAAATTTTTATATCATAAAACATGCACTTCCCTAAAATGCCCTGTGCACATAAAAATATTTCTACCACTTTTTCCCCCATTATAGTCTATCTAGAATATGGGCACAGAAGAAAGGGGAGTGAAAGGAAATAAAGAAAAGTGAGATGATAAGAAAGGAAGGAGGAAAGGGGATGGGCAAAAATTAGATGATCATTTATCCAATATTTAACACAAGCATAGAACAATGAGGCTGTCACAACTCTAAACTAATCCATGTTAAGTGACTACAAAGATGACAGAAAAGTGAAACTAATGCATCCGTAAAAATGTAGTTCTATGGATGCCAAGACGGGCATTATCCAGAAGAGACTATAGAATAACTCTGCCGGTTTCTTGGTAGTGGTCGCCCATGCCTTCAGAACATGTGGTATTCTTAGTGACTAAGTCATGATATTTCCATTTCAGATGTTGAGATCTGTGTTTCCCAAACTCAGCTTGACCATAAGAACAACCAGTGGAACTTCTTAAATATAGTAGCTCCCAGTACTAGCCTCAGAACTACTGAGCCAACATCTCTAAAGGCGAAGAATCTGAACTCTCTAACTGACGGCAAAATCAAGCTGTCGGCTGCTTGCCTTCTTGCCAGGCACCTTCCTACCAGCTCTTCAACCAAGTGAGCCATATGGTCACTCACACAGCTGCTCTGATAAAGGATTAATGGCTTAAAAAATAACACTTAGACAGAGCTATGGATGCTAATTTAGGAAACACAGAACTAAATTCCAGTAAGGTAAAGGAGGGGGCAAAGTGTGGTAACAGTGGCCATGAAAAATGTTTATCTAGGCTCAAATATTCAGCCAATATGCATTTTAGAAACTCAAAAGTGAAATGCAACACAAACCTATGGCTGTATCGTCTCTCTAGCACAGCCTGGAGATTATGTGTATATTTCAAAGTTTCATATCACCATGGGATTTAGAATGTAATAATCATCCAAAACACAGCATGAGTCCCTAAATACATTTATATTCTTCGGTCTCTTGAATAATAATAGTCTGGAATGAAAAAGGGTTCAAGACCAACAATTCCTTGCTCTACAACACTCAGGGGCAAGGAGGAACAGCCACATCAGATGAAAAAGCAAATAATTACATTCTAACATTCCTCCTGCCATTTTCATTTCACTTTTATTAAATACAAATTGCAGTCAAAAAATTATATCTCTGAATCATACCATTTAAAAAATAATATAGGTATACCCATACCAGGGATGTTAGCCAAGAACTGATTCAGCAGCTGTGTGCTTAAATGATAAGAGCAACTCAAGTAAATTCCGAACAGTGAATTCCTCAGAGGCAAACTTCTGATCCTCTCTCTTCGTGTTCCCTTTCAGAGCATTCTGTGCATCATATAGTACTAGATACATCCATAGCACTTCATAAATAATAAAAAATAAAATGATGTCTGTAGATCCAGGTCTGAAGGGATCAATTCTTAGGCACAATTCCAAAGATAAACTTTTACCATGTGGAAATTATGCCAAACGCCCTCAAATGTACTGCTAAAATATTCTCAACTCCAAAGCAAAATATATAATCAAAATGTGCAACATTGTTGGCCATTCTGAATGGGTTGTGTCAATGACAAGAGACCAATTTTTAAAAAATCGATTCAGCTGCATATTTTCTGAAATGTCTAATGTTGTCACCACATTTTGAACAAAAACTAATCAGTTCTCAGTTTCTCAGGATAATGGCATAGGGAAGAGGAAAACCACAGCATGGATACTGCAAGAAAATCAGACATTCAGAATTATCTGGAATTACTGTAATGTTCGTGTTTCCTTGGGGATTTTCTTTGGAGACCGATTAAATTGCATTTTTATTGGGCTAGTAATACATCTAATTTTATTCTTTAAGTAAAAATACCTGACAATAGGGAAAGACTATCTTTCCCTATTCAAGGGAAATTTCCAATTTACTCAAGTTCAAGTTCCAATTTACTCAAGCAGTAGGACAGAAATTTTTAAATGCTGCAAATAGCTAGATAATTCATAAGGGGCAGTTTCTTCTTCTGCATAAGGAGTATAAAACATTCCAACATACCACAGAAATTATTGAAGATTAATTAAGAATATAATCTACAGCACTTGGGAAATATGTTTATACAAAGATACAGAATTGCACTTGCAAATTCACCATGTCTTCTTATGACTGTTTAGCACATAAGTTCCCACTTCCTTGCCACCCATGATCACAATTAAAAAGATAACGGGTTGGGTGCAGTGGCTAAGAGCTCTAATCCCAACACTTTAGAAGACCAAGGCAGGTGGATTGCTTGAAATCAGGAGTTTAAGACCAGCCTGAGCAACATAGTGAAACTCCATCTCTACAAAAAATGCAAACATTAGCCAAGCATGGTGGTGTGCACCTGTAGTCCCAGCTACTTGGAAGTCTGTGGTGGGAAGCTGGCTTGAACCTGTGAGGGTAAGGCTGCAGTGAACCACGGATTGTGCCACTGCACTGCAGCCTGGGTGACAGAGTGAGACCCTGTCTCAAAAAAAGAAAAAAAAAGTAACAAGATAGGAGTCTCTACAGGAATTCCAGTCAATTGAAGTCCAGCTAACAACAACACTAAATAACTAAAATAATTTTTATTCCATGTGATGAGTAACTCTAACAAAATACAATTAAAAGAAGGCAAACTGGACTGAAGTAAGAAAGGAAATTGAGAAATCTTGCAATGTTATCATTTAGCAGTAAGTCACAGGGAGAAGGGCAGCAAATACGAAACTAAACAGCGACAATAGCAAAGCCAGGCCATGATAGGCAATGCTGATTGCAATTATTTTTGAATTGTTTGATGGCATTTGTCATTATGTTCTGACAACTACATACATCTGCACTCTTCTAATGAGATATACACAACAAAGTTTGTTGATACTAAGGTCATAATTTAATTCCAAATGTGGGTGAAGGGGAGAAGAAAAGCAAAGCACACTGCCATGTGTGTATCTATGCAACTGTCTTGCATACTCTGCTCATATACCCCAAAACCTAAAATCCAATAAAAAATTAAAAAAAAAAATGCTAAAAATATATACTGGTAGGTCACATTTGAAAACACTATGTAATCCAGGGAGAAAACTAAGGAGGCCTGTATTTTCATTTCTGAACATCTACGCATTGGATAGTGTCCCACAGGATAAAACCAGGCAGGGAAACAGCCTAAAAGAAAAATCTAGTGGGTTCTTTGCTGTCTGATAGATGAAGAAAAGCAGTACCTGAGACATGAAATCTAAGGTTCATGTCACACTGGAAGGGAAAAAGTAGCTATTAAATCTGTGTGGTACATAAAAAAGAACTCTGAAATGTAAACAATAGAAATTTATGTGTTAAAAACACGTGGCGATCATTAAAATATCTGGAGACAACAGATGCTGGAGAGAATGCAGAGAAATAGGAAAACTTTTACACTGTGGTAGGAGTGCAAATTAGTTCACCCATTGTGGAAGACAGTGTGGCAATTCCTCAAGGACCTAGAAAGAGAAATTCCATTTGACCCAGCAATCCCATAACTGGGTACATATCCAAAGGATTATATATTGTTCTATTACAAAGACACATGCACATGTATGTTCACTGTGGCACTGTTTACAATAGCAAAGACCTGGAACCAACCCAAATGCCCAACGATGATAGACTGAACAGTGAAAATGTAGCATGTATACACCATGGAATACTATGCAGCCATAAAAAATGATAAGCTTGTGTCCTTTGTAGGGACATGGATGAATCTGGAAACCATCATAATCAGCAAACTGACAGAAGAACAGAAAACCAAACACTGCATGTTCTCACTCATAGGCGGGTATTGAACAATGAGAACATATGGACACAGAGAGGAGAGCATCACACACGGGTCTGTTGGGGGGACTACGGGAGGGACAGTGGGGGTGAGGAGTTGGGAAGGGATAACATGAGGAGAAATGCCAGATATAGGTGACAGGGATGAGGCAGCAAACCATATTGCCATGTATATATCTATGCAACAATCCTGCATGTTCTTCACACGTATCCCAGAATATACATATATTAAAAAAACCTGTGGAGAGTTACTATGACTCATGAATATCAATTGAACAGGCATTCTTGAAATCACAGGTTGCTGTATCTTTCATAATTATATTTCTACCATATTAATAGTTAATAGTTTTCTGTTGGATTAAAACCTATACATTATTTTCAATTATGAAAATCCTCCTGAAAGACTACTACTTAACAAATATTTTGGGACAAAAGTGTTAAGAATAAAAATTATTTTTCTCCCCAGAAAATCTGCATTAATTCCATAATCTAAGTTATCGAAACCACTTATTTCTTACTCTCTCACAATTTACCTTTCTTGGATTTGGCTCCGATCTTCAGTTTTGATGGCCAAGCAATCTGTGTGTTTGTTTCCTCCATGATCTGTAACAAAAAGTGAGGGAAATATTGATTCAATTGAAAACTAGTATTTACAGATAAGATTTTTCACACAAAAAGCTTATTTTCAAGTTCCTAGCTTCATGTTGATACAAAATGAGCTCATTTGAAAACAATGCAAAGAAAAAAAAACCTCGGGGTGAAAAAGAGATGTTTTTATAAGCCTTTAATCTATCAGAAATATTCAAATATATTTTGTTACTCCCAGTGTTCCTCTCCACGATGCTCCAGAATTTTAACATAAAGACAAGACCAAAAAGTACATGAACAAGTAATTAACCCAACTTGATGCCAGAACCGTCAGAGATGCTTGTGCTGAGTAAAATTCCCCAAGACAATTGCCAAGGGATTGCAACACACCAAACATGATTCTTATAATACAAAACTGCATGAGTTAGAACATACTAAATGAAGTTTTCCCTGGAGGAAAAAGTAACCTTCTTTGGACACATTTGTGTTTCATTAAAACTGATGAAAACCCTCTAAACACAGTGTCACATCATAAGGCTGAATTCCTCATCATCCTTCCCCTGGTTCAGAATGGCATTTTTGCCAAAGGTCCTTCCCACTTGCACACACAGCTAACACCGGCTAGGAGGTCTCGTGACCTAAATGGGTGGAAGCACCAGAACAAGTGAGCAAAGCAATGACTGCCTAGCAAAAGAAATGGACAGTAAATAAGAAAAGAACAGGTATTTAAAATGTGCATCCTTTGTTCCTAATTTTACATGAATTACATAAGATTAACGTTTGCTCTTGTAACACGAACACGGAATTAACCTAAATAATAGAGCAAACTACTAAACAATATGCAAATAACAGCAACTATCATTCATTAATTTAATCTCTTGAATTAGACTAGGACAATATTTACCTTTAATATGGACTGAGAGTTCATTAAATAAATTAATGGTGAAAACAACCCAAACACATCAAGAGCATAATGAATAATAAGTACCTTTTTCTCCTCAGTATTGGCCATGTACTGGGCACAAGGATAAATGGTTCACATGCACCATACTTCAGTGAACCCCCTTTATCATAATATAAAAGGGCTTTCAGCAGATGTTTCAGACTGAAAGCCCACAGAAGCATTTTGTCTATTCATTGTAACTTTTTTTTTTTTAAAGTTTGAGCCAACATTTTAAAATCTGGGAATGTCACATAAAAATTCAGATTTCTGGTTCTCTGGAAAACTTGGCAAATGTAGCACAGAGAGCTCACATTCCCACATGGCAATGCTTGGCTGGCACCAAGGAACAGCTGCCCCCCTTGAGTCAGGGCCAGCAGGCTCTGAGCTACTCCCAGTCCCTACTGTGTCTCTGACTCTGAGGTCAAAGGCCACTTGCCATAGTCACCATGGCATTGTACTGCTCACTTGCCATTTATCATGGTGTTTGCTGTCTTTCTCAGAGCAGTATTTCTCTACATCTATGTCTCCATTAAAAACTGAACAAAAGTAAAGTCCACACTGTCTTCACTAAGTCAAGGTACTGGTCTGGCTCTCAAGGCAGATGAGCTCATTACCTCAACCCTACAGCACCTGGCCCCAGCTGCTGCTTCTCTCATTCATGCCTGTCTCTGCTAATGTGTTTGGTTGTTTGCACCATTAACTTGGTTAGTTAAGCCTAAATCAGTAGTAAAAAATAAAATGTTATTTTTCTTAACTCCTTCTGCATCAGCCATGTTGCCACCCCTAAAACATGCCCAGCAGGCTCTCCTTCCGAGCCCCTGCATTCACTGTTATCTCTTCCCCAGAATTTCCTGTCCCAGCTCCTCATGCTCAGACTTCAGCTGCTACTTTGTCCAACTCGCCATCGTTTTCTACTCTCATACCAACCCAACCACAATTATTCTTCCCAGCTCATTGTGTTTATTTCCCTCCTAACCCTTATTGCAAGTGGAAATCCTCTTATTTTCCATACTTACTTATTTACAGCCTGTCTCTGCAAAACAGAAACTAAATTATCTTCCCTGTACACAGTCGGCCCTGGATTTAGCTAGTTTCATAATTTTCCTCTAAGTTACTTAAGACTCTCAAAGAGATAAGAACAAAAAATAAGGCTGCATGCAGTGGCTCATGCCTATAATCCCAGCACTTTGGGAGACTGAGGCAGGAGGATTGCTTGAGGCCAGGAGTTCGAAACCAGCCTGGACAATATAGTGAGACCCATCTCTACAAAAAATACAAAAATTAGCTGGGTGTGGTGGCACACGCTTGTAGTCCCAGCTACTCAGGAGGCTGCAGCAGAAGGATCACCTGAACCCAGGAGTTCAAGGATGCAGTGAGCTATGATCCTGCCACCACATTCCAGCCTGGGACACAGGGAGATACACATTGTTTCTTTTTTCTGGGGTAGGGGAGGAAGAGGTGATTTGGTTGGGAGCAAGGCAGCATAGTTGCCTAACAGCCAAGCTCGTCTAACAAAGGAAACCTCTGCCTTGAAACACACTGTTTCAAAGAAAAAAAAAAACAGAAAGAAAAATAAGATCTTACTATAATGCTACTGGTGGGGAGGAGGCAGTAAGAAAGCAATCTATATGCTTTTCTTTTTCTGAAGTAAATAATGTAGTTACTTAATCCAGTAAACAATGTAAAGGGCCATATTATGATACTGTGGGGCCATATTATGATACTCAGGGGCCGTATTAGATAGGTTTCCCTTTTAACATATGAGTAGAAGACCTAACTTTCTGAAATCTTAAATCATTAGAAGAAATGCCCTGAAATCACTCTGCATGTACACTTCTTTTATTAAGCACTAACAGTGCTCCACAACAGGAAATAATATGCCAGAGAAAATATCCTAAGAGCAGTAGGTAACAGCCATCAAGTTGGGAAGACAGCTTTATACACACTCCCTCTAACCCACACTACAGCTCCCTGTCTACGAAGCGGGTTCACAAAGACCACTCTCAAATTACTCACATCAACACTGTGTTTAAGGGGAGGTGGGGTAATCCCAAGTCTTGAATCCCTAATTTTAAAACCAGAGTTCTATATACTATACTACATGGCCTCTAAGGTTCTATGAGCCATAGTAAATGCCAAACTTCTTAGAGAAAGCAAATTGCCAGTAATTAGAACTTGGCATCAGGAGCTGATGTCTCCTATATGACTAGAAAAATGTCTCTCTGGAACACCATTTGTAGCCAGCCAATGCCAACTCCTCAGATCATTCATGAGGCTACTGGCCCACACAGAGCTCTAGCCAGATGCCTTTGCAGATATTCTTTATTTGTACATCATTGTGTGTAATCTAGCCATTAAGAGCAGGGATTCCAGAGACAAATACCAGTTCTGCTGCTTTCTAGGGGTGCTGTGCTGAGCAAATTACTTAACTTCTATCAGTCTCAGTTCCCTACTCTGGAAAGTTCATTATTGTGTCTATTTCGAAAGTCGTTGTGAGAACTTAATGAGGAAACCCTAAGCACATAGCATGGCACGTAGTGGGTGCTTGATAATATTAGCCCTTGTATTAATGATGATATTGATAACTTTTGGTCAGACAGGCACTGTCCTAGATACTAGGGATACAACAGCAAACAAAATGATTCCTACCTTGCGGGAACTCAGAATCTTACAAGGGAGAAGATAAGCAAACTGCCATCATGGTACTGTGTGCCATGTTTCAGAATGGGGCAGCGCAATATGAGCATGTACAGAGGGGGTCCTAACCCAGTTATGGGTAGTCAAGGAAAGCTACCTCAAGAAAATGCTTACTAAGGCTGTGACCTGAAGGAGGAGAAAAAGTTGGCTCACCGGAGAAAAGGTAAGAAAGTGTCCTAGGCAGAGGAGGAGGGCATGTGTAAAGGTCTCAAAAAAGAAGAGAGGGCTGATACCTGCAAGACCCTGAGGCTGATTCACTGCAGCCAAAGGGCTTCAAGGCTCACCCCACACATCTAGGACAGGTAATGCATCTCTTGTTATCCCCACTGTCCTATGGCTGTGCACACCAATGCCTTTGAAACAGACTTGAATTCATGACACAAAGTGAAGCCACCAAGTACCGTGTTTGGCTGACACTCCCTACAAATAAATTCTGGCCACTGCAGTGATTACTCGTAGGAAGGGGCCACACTGACTTTGCTTTTGGGAAGTCAAAATTTTCCTTAGGAAGTTATCAATGAAGCTTTTAAAACCATCATCTATAATGTCTCCAAGTCTATTCTTACAGCTTTGATATGGCACACTATTAACCTGAGTTAGCCTCAGCCAGGGGTGGGAGTAGTGGAGTGTGAAACATTCCATGATGGGGGTTGGGGGAGGAAGCATAGGTCTCTTAAGGGTGTGGGTGTGGAGGTCAGTCTAGGAACCCCAATGCTGGAGCTAGATTACTGGATCCAGGGGCTGATAAACACGTCTCTGCAGGGAGTGTGGATGGAGGTTGGTCCAGGAACTCAGTGCTGGAGATAGGTTACTGGATTTGGGGGCTGACAAGCATATCTCCTGCAAGTGGCGTGGGGTGGAAGAAAGGGTGCAAAGGCAGGAAGTAGGGCAGTAAGCAAGTCAGAGGTTCTGTATCCATAAGCTATGCAAAAATATGTCCTAAATGTTCGTCAAACAGGTAAATAAGGGAACTGGAAAAGGTAAGTCTAGGAAGATGTGGTTGAAATCAAAGAAGCCACAAAACCACTGAGAAGAAAATTACTATCTTCTGTTTCAGGGGAAATAAAAAATTCCAAAGTGAGTTCCAGCTAGTTGGTTTCGCTTTTTAAAAAATCTCTTTATTGTCCCTATTTGCACCTTCGCAAAACCAAAACTCAAGGAACAAACTACTGATTTTGAATCATTTTCTGTAAACATTAAAGTAACATTTTCAAAAACATCATGAACGTAAAGAGATAATTTTGTAAATGCTACAATGACAGAGACACTGACACTTTTTCAAGAGGATATTGTACATTTCTCACAATCCAATTAATTCCTGAAAAATCTGAAAAGAAAATCACTTCCAAAAAACATGTGATATGCTTAAGTCAAC